CCGCGCCTGCAGCGCCGGCCCCGGGGGGCCCCTGAGGGCCGCCCGACCCCCGACCCCTCCCTCCCGACCCTGGCGTCTCCTCTCGCGCCTGTCCTCTTCCCACCTCTCTCCTCTCTTTCACTTTCTCACCCTTCTCTCACCCTTTCCCATCTTTTTTTCCCTCATTGAAAAGAGGCCCAGTCACCAAGCGGCCCAGTCACCGAGCGTAACAATCCAGTAAGACTTCCTTCTGCCACTTTGCCAAACTTGGTTAACTAGTCAGTAACATTTTAGAATGAAATTAAACATCAGGGACTTGGAGCGTGGGCCCCAGCTCCAGGCTTCCAGGTGGAATGTCTCTAGGTCACGTCTATTGCTTAACTCCCCCACCCGAACATTCACTTAAGTATGTGACATCTTTCAGGTGAAAGATATAGTCTTACACTTTGGGGATTGTTTTTGCACAGCCTGTGCTTTCAATTTTTCTCTACTTGGTTAAGGCCACATTCTCAAGAAACTAAAATGGCTCCCCTTTACTTCCTACACAAAGGCCAGGTGCTGGTTGTCCAGTTAGCTCACTTGTGACAGCATGGTGCTGGCAACGTCAAGGTCATGAGTTCAGATCCCCACCAAAAGAAAGAAAGAAAGAAAAGACCCGTTGATTACACCTTAATTTTAAGCCACTCAATCTGGTCCCACTCTACCCATTTGTTCTTAGTTCCTGCCACCCTTACCTTTTCACCCCTGTTTTATTCCATTGACAAAGTGGTCTCGTCTACCCTGAATAATGCCTGTCTCTTCTTCTCTGACTAGGCAATTTTTATCCATTCTTCTTCAGCTATTTCAGTCAACACAGACCATTTCCTTCTCTCTGCTCCTATCAGCTCCTTGTGCTTACTCAGCACTTATCTCTACCTTGTTTCACATATTTTAGTCATTTCACTCCAGTCAACTGTTTTGAGATCAAACATCGTTCTTTTTTTTCTTTTCTTTTTTTTTTTTTTTTTCTTAGCTAAGTCACAGATTTTGAAACTAAAATATCACAAGAATTAGTAAGGGCTGGTCGGTTAGCTCAGTTGGTTGAAGGACTGTGTTACAACACCAAAGTCAAGGGCTTAGATCCCTGGATGGGCCAAACCAGCCCCGGCCACCCCGAAAATTAGCACGTAACACTCTGTGTGCACTTACTCTGCAGGAACTGTCCTGAATACTTAACCTGTATTAATTTAGGTATTATTATTATTATCCCCATTTTAGAGATGTGATTAAGGCACAGAGTGGTGTAATGATTTGACTAAGGTTATACAGCTAGTAGAGACAGACCTGAGACAGATCAAGACTTTCTTGGTAGGGTCTCGTTCTTGACAGAAAGGCTGGTTACCTCCAGCATTGTTTTCACCCTAATTAGAGTGCTGCTAGGCAATAGCTTTCTTTGCCTTTTACCTGAAAATGAGGTGTTAGTGTTTACATTCTTAAGGGTTGTAGACTTTGTGTTTCTTTTTATATGTTTTCCATTTAAACATTTTTAATAACACAAGCCAGCCATAAGAGCACTAGGAAAATATTAACTTTTGATAGGAATATACTAAGACATCTCATATTCTCAAATGTACAGGTGATACATATTCAAAAGTGTTAGAATGAAGGGGAAATAGAAATGTTAACAATTATCATAATCAACAGTTAGTGAGGATTTACTAGGTGCCAGGCACCCTGTATTTCATTTAATCTCTTCTACGAGATAAGTACTATTATACTTCTTTTTTTTCCTGATGAGAAATCTGACTCTCAGAGACCAGTAATTTACCTCAAGGTCATTGAGCTCAACGGTGACCAGTGGTGGAGTCAGAATTTGAATCCAAGTGTGTTGACTGTGCTCTTGACTATTCTTAGTCTCTGCCTAAATTGAAATCCACTCTGCCTTGCTATTACCCTCTTTACTCTCTTGCTCTCAGTCCATGAAAGAAAAGCTGTCTTTACTCTGATGATTGATGCTCATAACTCCCATACAATGTCTCCTGGGATATATTTTTAATTATGAGTTCATTACTACAAAGGTCACAGTTAAGTTGGAAAAGCCATATCTTGTTAAGTTTCTTTTTTCCCCTACGGTCATAGTGGAATCTTTGAGTAGAAAGTTTGAGTAAAGCACTTTTGTGCTATTAGATAATAAGAATAGGGAGAAAATGCACCTTTTCCACCTAAAAAATTACAATTTTAAACTCTAAAACATTTGAGATTTCAAATGTTAGACTTTACAGATGACGTGTCGATTCAAGAAAATCTCCTTATTTGGCTTTGAATCAAGCAGACCTTTTATTTTTATTTTTATTTTTATTTTTTTTGTCTTTTGTCTTTTTCCGTGTCCGGCAACGGATCGCAACCCTCAGTGTCGCCCCCGTACCGGACCAGGGACCAGCAACGGGATTGCAACCCTCGGTGTCGCTCCCGCGCCCCGCTCAGCCAGTGCAGACCTTTTATTTTAAGCTGTTTCTGTTCAGCAAGATCCCAAAGGGGCCTCCCTGTACAGTGAAATGTAACTTCCCCTAGAGTGAGGCTGGGAAGCTGTTTCTGACAGTCATTCATTAACACACTTGAGAGCATTTTATAACAGGAGTGGAAAGAAATCTTAGAGCCAGCTGAGAATATGTCCTCAGAGACATTAGAGAGGGAAATATGAGAGAGCTGAGATTCAGAGAGATGAGAGAGGTTACAGAAAGGTTGAAAATAATGCAAAGGAAAAGACAGAAAAGGAAGACAGGCAGCTGAGACTAGTACTCAAAGAAAAGTGAAAAGGGGGTTTGCATTGGAGCAGGAGCAAGGGCAGATTAGATTTTGAAGAAATAAAGTTCCGAATTTGACCAATTATTAAAAGCAAAAGAAACTGTATAAACAGCTAGGAAGTCTGTCTTAAAGATCAGTAAAAAACAATGAATGTCTAGGGCTGGCTCGTGGCTCACTCGGGAGAGTGTGGTGCTGATAACACCAAGGCTGTGGGTTCGGATCCCATATAGGGATGGCCAGTTCGCTCACTTCGGAGTGTGGTGCTGACAACACCAAGTCAAGGGTTAAGATCCCCTTACTGGTCATCTTTTAAGGAAAAAAAAAAAAGAATGTCTAAAGATAAATTAAAATGCAATAACACCAAGTCAAGGGTTAAGATCCCCTTACTGGTCATCTTTTAAGGAAAAAAAAAAAAGAATGTCTAAAGATAAATTAAAATGCAATAACATAAAAAAATTAAAGATAGATAAATGCAAAGAAGAAAAGGAGAAGGAAGAAGATGGGGGGAGAAGAAAGATGGATAAATAGATGTCAGCTATTATATGTAGAAGAAATGACAGAATTTGAAAAATCACCATTTGTGAAACACCAATGCAGTATATCTTTACTGAGTAGCAAGCACCATGCTAGACACTGTGGAGAACAAATAAGTCCAGGAAGGTAGATATAGCACAAAACAATCAGAGATTCTACATAGATGCACTTTGAGCACAAGCCTAAGGCTATTTAAATGAGATGTAGAACATTGCTGGCTCCTAGCCAAAGACTACACTTGGCTCTATTGACTCAAGGTTGACCTACCTTTATGCATATTTTTCCTCTTTGGGAAGTACTTGGAATGGATAACTATGCTGAATCTGTTCTGCTGGTTTAAAGTGCTCCATTGCTTTCTTTTCTAAAGACTAAGCTGTGAGCGCAGACTCAAGACTCAAGGGATACATGACGATTAGAGCCCTCCCACATAAACCTGGTGCTCAGAAGATTCCCTCTAGTCAGACAACAGTGCACATTACTGCTCAAGATAAGCTGATGTGAAAAGAGGGCCTATGTATTGTGTGACACTCTGTATGCTTGGGGAAGCTTAAAATGCACAGATGTCCCTGGGAAAGTGGCTAAGTTGAGAAAAGAGTTGCAGTAGTTGCAAAAACATCCCATCGACCTCAGTCCCTTGTGGTCTATACACATTCCTACTTGGATCTACTTATTTCTCCTCTTACCTGAAGCACGTGCTATTCCTCAGTCTTCCTGGGAGTTTGTGGCTCCCCCCTCTCCCAGTTGAACAGACTTGGCCCTGACCTGTGTGCATGTACAGAAAAAAAGGGAAAAGTTATGTGTGTAGCCAGGGGATATGGAGGTGAGGGGAGAGAAAGCCTCTAAATGACCCTAAAAATAAAACGTTTAAAGGTACCAAATCTGTGATGCTGCCTCATTTACCCTGTTACATGAGAGAGGTTTCTCCTTTTCTGTCTTTGGCCTGGTTGGATTGAGAAGGGGGGTTTGAGAGAGCGCAGACCTTCTGTCCAACCTTGCATAAGTGGCATAGACATGGAGAGATCCTTGTGGAATGTAAGTGACTGTGACAGTACAGGGGCAACACACAGAGAGGCACGTGTTCATTATGTATGGCTGGAGAAATTATCTGTCTCCAGGGGGACATGTTTCACTGTGCATTAGCTTCGAGCCGCTTCCTTCCTATTTCTCTGCCCACTCTCTATCACTGTCCTTCTCAGTCTCCTTTCCCATTCTCTTTTCCCCCTCACAGCCCAGCTCTGCCCATCATGTCTCCATCCATCTTTC